TACCATTTTTAAATTGGGGGATTTTCTTCATGATCTGGACTGTCAACACAGTCTTAGATAGGACACCAAAAGCAATGAGAAAAAAATATAACTTCATAAAAATAAAAAACAGTTGTGCTTTAACAGACACCATTAAAAAAGGAAAAGACAGTCCGCAGAATGGGAGAAAAGTATTTGGAAACCATGAATCTGATAAGAGACTTGGATCTAAAATATGCACCGAACTCTTATGGCTCCAAAATGAAAAGATATCCAAGGTTTTTGTTTGTTTTTAAATTAATAAAAACAAAATTTGAACTGAAAAATAAAAATCGGGAATATTTTAAGGTCCAGATTTCTTTGAAACTTCAAGAACTGACCAGTCTGGGTTCATATTCCTGATGCAATGACAGGCTGGCACAGGGCAGCGCCTGACTTTGCTAGGTAATCCCATTAGAGCCTCAGTCCCCACTGTTCCCCACTGCTGCCCACACTGAATCCCCTTAAAGACACCGAGGGTTCCTAACAAGATCCTCCAAGCACTCTACGCAATCTCTTTAAGACTGAACTCATTCTGGCACTCAATTGGAAGTTTTATGTTTTGGTTTTTTATTTCCTCCACTGATTTTATCACCATATTCCAAGAAAGCTCTTAGAAAGCAAAGAATGTCCCATATACTCTGTGTCTCACACAACACCTAGCACAAGACTAAGATTTTTTTTTTTTAAAGATTTATTTTTATTTATTTATATAAGCACTGGGTACAGTCAGAAGCGCGGGAGGGTGAGAGAATTCACCAGAGCCAGAGCAGGGAGCAGAGCAGGCAGAAGGACCGAAGGACACTGCTGAGGAGAGCAGCGGGCGGCAGGAGAGTCTGCGCGCCATGCAGGACCCTCCTCTGGTGGCCAGGGAGCAGCTGGGGATCGAACCAGTGCTGCAGAGGCTGCGGGCAGCTTCGCAACCCAGCGCTCAACTGCACAAGACTAAGATTAAGAAGATACTCATCGTTTATGAAATGGATACATAAATGAATGACTAAATAAGTGTCTCCAATATCTGCTTTTCTTCCCCCAAGTTTTGGATTTTTGCTATTAAAAACATGGCCTAAAACAAATATGAATGTGTAATATAAAATGAACCACTGCAGTCAATCACTGCATTTTTCTTTCAATTTTCTATGAGTTTAAAATGGAAGTAAGGACTCTGAACAAATGCGGAACAGACCATCACCTCTGACAGCAAGAAGAATTAGAGCCCAGGATGCTGCTGGTCAGATCACCAGATACTCTCAGTGATCTTAGAGGGGATCATGAGAAACTGGACAAGAGCCCACAGCTGGAGATGGGCAAATGTTGCTCTGATGTTCACAAGGAGAAGGAAGTTACAGCTTGCCAGTTCCAGATTAGAGAATGTCAAGTCACTCTCGGGCAAGTTTCTTGACACTTACAGGCAACCAGGTCAGGAAGCAAGGTCCATCTGGAGTCAGCACAGGTGTCAGTAAGAACAAGTCATACTGAGCTCATTTCATTTTCCGCTCTCTGACAAGAATTCTATCCAGTGTATTGGAGAACTACAGCAGATATATATGGTGCAATGGCGGGAAGAGGGGTGGTGGGCAATAGAAAGGGTTAATTCAACCCTCGGGCTATATCATTAGACGGTAGTTGTTTTCTTTGACTACATCTAGAGTTTAGAACCTAGCATCACGATCAAAGAAGGCTACTGATAACGCAATCTTTTGGAGGTCCATTTGGCAAGTTCTCTTTCAAAGCACAAAACTCTCATCTAGATTTCTGGCATCTGTTGAAAATTTGGTGAATCTGAATGGGTCTACATCCCTAAGGAACAACTGGTTGAACATAAAGTAGAACTGTCCACAATCACCACCACTCCTTCGTATATTGTCCTCACTGAGTTGGTGGGCCAACTGGCACATACCACCTCACATGGCCAACTTCACTCATTCATTCTATCTGCCAAGCACCCAAAGCCACTGGAGTTTACAAGCCAGGAAGCAGCAGATCCAAAGGAGAGGGAAGGTGATGAGCAGTAGGAAGCATCTTATCTGAGCAAACGAGAATAATCACAGGCCCAGGGGCCAAGATCAGAGTCTCCCAACAGCCATGGGAAGAAGTATCTGTCTTGTTCCATGAAGAACCAATAGGTGGGGAAAGACATATCTCCCCAACTTAAAAACCACTTACAATGGCAGAGCCATCCAAAGACAACATATGTGGGCTTGGGGTAGTGAGTCCCCAGCACTGGAAAGGCACGAGCATATGGCACACACCTGTGAGGCAGGTGTGTACCCAAAGAGATTCAGGTATCTGATGAGGCAAGAAAGGGCCTGACTCAGATTTTTTTTACAATATGAAAAAAAGCTGTTTGTAAACCTACTCCTTTGTTAGGTCAATAAATTCTTGAAAAAGAGATCAAAGAGCGTAAGTAAACAAAGAACTCAGCATTGTTTTAAAAATCAAAAGTTCCCTCAGAACAGTCACAGAAGATGGGAGCGGCCTAGAGAGGTGGAGCGTTTGCACCCAGTTGGCCACGTGATACCGAGGGAGCCAGGTAATGGGCATCGGGCCTCATTTTTGGCCAGCGGTCAATCGTTCTTTAGAGGCGAGCAACAAAGGCAAGGGGACGAAAGTAGGAGGGTAGACAATAGAAGGCCATCTAGAGGCAGCCGGTCCCCGCCGCACACAGCCATCTGCTTCTGCCATCAATCCTGCAAGGGGCGGCTTCCACAAACAACGCGGGGGACGCCGGCCCCACGGAGACCGCCTGGCCTGTGCAGGCCCAGCCCGGTGACCTCGGGCCAGTCATTTCACATTCCTGGGCCTCAGCTGCATCTCCAAAACCGAGTCCTTACAAACGTTGTCTGCACATCATGTGGGCCAAGAGCAGCCATGTCGGAGCAAGCCACGCAAACTGTAGCGCCTGGTACGCACTTCAGCACTGCTGAAGATGATTAATGAGCAGGACGTCGGCAGCAAAGGGAGAGGCCCACGCAGAACAGCGTCCTGACCTACATTGCGTGGGTGTCACCTCGAAAGGGATAAACCCAAACTCCTCCAGCCAGAATGCACAGGCATTTAGAGTCCGGGGAAGACAAGATCATTTGGGCAAATTTCCTGCTGGACGTCATTACCCTGCACTTGCTAACTCGTTGTGAAGAGAAAGATGAGGGGGGGTGGGGGGTAGCGAAAGAACAGGGCGAAGCAATAAACGCTGAGCTGACCCTCCAGTAAAGCTCCCTGGGCAGGGTGGCAATCCCTTCAAAAATGAGATGAGCGCATTCCCAACCCGGAGAATGCTTTAAGGAAACCTCAAAGCGTCTAAAATTCAACATCCCCTTCTCCATGATGGCATTTTCCGTGGGAACCTCAGTCAAATACCAATAATCAGTGAAATGAATCTTATAAAATATAAACTCCCTAAAAAGTGTTTCTCCAAAGACGGCTTCCATAGGGCACAGCTGGGCAAATTCAGTCTGCGAGCAAAGAAGGGCTGACGGGCTTCTAGATTTCCAGCAAGCCTGAGACATCCTATGGCTGCACCGAACTGATCGTAAGAGGAGGGGACCTTGAAGGACAGGGTTTCCTGGTCCTCTCACCGGGGGGCTGTCCGAGGGGACCAGAACTAAAAGGCAAAAGGCTTTGGGGACTGGAAAAACACAAAGCGTGCGCTGTCGGCTGTTCCCGCCCAAAGTTTCCCAGCGCTGAAGCCGGTGCAGCAGCTGCGGGTGGGCCTGCTGCTGCCGCCGCTGCCGAGGAGGCCACCAGGCTGCCCGGGGCCTGAGCTGCAGCGGCACCTAGAAGCAGGTGTGGCAACCTCAGGTCCCCGGGCCCCAACTCCCAGTTCCCTGCATGCCCCCTCCCCCCTGCCCACCCCCACCCCGGTTGCCTCAAGGGCAGGCGTTCACATCCACTGGGGACAGATTTGGCCTTTACTCTTTCCCTGCTGGACCACAACACGCCCTGTGTCGCAGCCAGGCGGGCCGTGGCCGGCAAGGAAACAGATGCTAAGAGGCGCGGCCCAGAATCCCCTCAGGGTCCTCCTGGGAGAAAGGGTGAGCATGGCGGGTGCTGCTTTGAGATTTTTCTGACCAGAGCTGAACCCAGAACTGGGGAGGGTGGGAGAAGCCCTGTCTGGCCTGAAGGGTTCTGCCTGCGTCTGTCTGCGATTGTGTCTGTTTTCGCATTCTGCCCGGCTGGTGAGTGTGCCCCCGGCGGCACCAAAGCTGGAACAAGCAGCCAGAGGTCACCAGCCCTCGCGGCAGGCCTCCCGGGCCCCCCCCACCGAGGCCAGGCAGCGACCAGGCCAGAAGGGCGCACCGAGCCGTGGCTCTGAATGAGGGCTGATGACCCAAACGCCAGCACAGAGCCGGCGGCGCGCGCGAGAATGCACCGTTTTCTGCACCGTTTCCTGCACCGCTCCCTCTTCATGCCTAAACGCCTGCATTAGTCTGGATCAATACGCCCCATAACAGTTGATCCACGGCCGCCCAGGCCAGCCGAGAGACACCCACAAAGAAGTGCCCCCGGGGACGCCACTGCCCTCTGCACGCGCACGTGAATCCCAGCCCAGAGAAAGGGGCAGAGGAGAAGCAGGCCACGAGCAAAAAGGAGAAAGGGCGGCAAGCAGATCATAAAAAATATGCATCGTGTCCAGGGGCTAGCAGCGGGGGGCCGGGGGAGGCAGTGGCTGTCAAAAGGTTCTTAGAGCGACATGTCATGGCCAAGATGATGGAGCATCAGAGACACTCCTTGAGCGGGGCGCCGAGCCTCCTCGCACACCTGCAATGCAGTGATCGCTGCCCTTCCACCAGCCACACGCCCAGCACAGCCCAGCGCTCTGCAGTCAGACCAGCCCGGGCTTGCGTGGCTGCCGCTGTTCCGCCTCACAATAAGATTATTGATGCATAACAACATTTCCCGATGGCAGGGGTGGGGGTGCAAGCCAAAGCAAGAGAAAAAGGCGAGGGGAGGGGAGGCGTGCCCCCCGGCCTGCAGCTTACCTTTTATTTGGGCTTCATATTCGGCGATGATCTCTTTGTCTTTCTTGAACTTAGTTTGAGATGACATCTTCCAACGTGGCCAAAGGCACTGTCAGGCTGCTTGATTTATTTCTCCTTTTCTTGCCGAGTCCTCTCTCCAGCCCTGGAAATCACAAGGCTCAGGTTGATTTCACCGGTTTACCGGCTAATCTCTTTTACTCAGCTGCAGAGCTGGGGGGGGAAAATATCCCTCTTGTTCTGGGAGGAAAAGGCTCTTTACTCGCCGAAAAATGTCTCTTAGTAGCTTGGTCTGCTCAGCTCCTCTTGCAAAAGAACCACCACCCTAGGAGACGGTAACCTGCCCCAGATTTTCAAGATTTTTCTTCCAAAAAATAATAACCAAGAGCGTGCGCGCACACACACACACACACACACACACACACACAGTCACTCACGCATACACTCGAGCACTCACCCAGACAGGCACACACATGGTCGTGATGGACACACACATACACACACACACACACCCTCACTCACACCAGCTCACACACACATGCACGAGGCAGGGCGCCTCCTTGGTCCTGCACTCGCCCCGCTGGCTGTGGAAGGCTCTGCCGAGGAGGTGGTCAGGTTGCCAAGGGGCCGGTCATCTCGCATCCTCCCTCCACTCGGCGCCGCGGGTCTGATGTACAGTGAGGATCAAAGCCAGGAGACTGAGCTGGAAGTTCTGCCGCTGCAGCGCTAAGCTGGGGTGAACCCGGGGCTGGACTGCTCGCCCCGCAGGGCTGCCGAGCTCCCCCCACCGCCTCGTCACCAGGCTCCGCCTACTGGATTTTATAACAACTGACACATTGTAGCCTACAGGAGAGCAGAACTCACTGCAAGGAAAAAGGGGAAGAAACCTCACAAAAGGCGAGGCAGCAGGAAAAAGAATTGGGTCGGGAGGCCTGAGAGGCCCCTTGCTTCACAGGCCGCTGAGGGCTCTTTCTTCCAGAAACTCCAAATGGTCCACTTTTTCGTTGCAGCGTGCAATTTAATGCTCCCTCTCCAAGCAGCAGCTCTGTGATAGCTTGTCACTCAGTCAGGACTGGCGAGCAGAGGGCCTGCCCCACGCAAGCCAGCTTGTTAGTATTTGTTGAGAGATTGTGGGGTGGCAGGGGTAATGCCAGACAGCGTGGCACAGGCCTGGGGAGCCAGCAGGCTGGAAACATGCAGCTCCCATGCCGGTCGCCTGGGGCTTTGGGCAAATCTTCAACTCACCGAGCCTCAGTTTCCTCATCAATGAAGGGGTCTCTCTTAGGGGGATTTTTCATTCATTTTTGTCAATACTTGCTAAAAGCTTTCTATAGGTGGGGATCATTCTGGGTGTGAGGATGCGGTAAATCAAAATAGGATATATATGTATCCTAACGCACCTGGAGCTCTAGGCCTCCCCATCAACAACTCCCGCGGGTTATCACGGGCCACGTAACCACTCGTGGTAAAACAGCCCGAGCAGAACCCGGGATGCCGTATGAATGGCGCCTCCTGGAGTTGTACAAGGCCAGAGGCCCCGGGAGGAGAAGATGAAAAATAAACAGAGTAAGTTATATAATGTGACGTAAGATGATAAATGCTATGGGGGAGAAAATATTGCAGAGTAAGGAACTTGAGGCCCAAGGGAGCTCTTGGGAGGATCAGATGAGAGTGCGAAGCTCAGCTTAGCACGGTGTCTGACTCACGGTAAGCACTCGATAAGCGGCCGCAAGTGTGTTACCCCATTCTAGCACCCTAACAACATAGTACAAGTACCCCTTTTCCACAGATGAAGAAATGGAGGTACAGATGTGGGAAGTGATGTGCCCAAGGTCACCAGCCTCGGCTGTCTGACTACTGATCTGCCGGTCAGATGCCCCAAGTCTCTCGCATTCTGCCAGACCCAGCCATGTCACACGCACGTGAGGCAGAATGAGATTTGTTTGGTAAAAAATGAAATCAGTCGCTCTAGGTGGCTGACCACTGGGGTGTCACATACTAGTACCATCATCAACACACATGTCCTCCTAGTGTGGTGTTGCCACAGATGTCTCAAAATTGCCTTCCAGCTGCTACTTTCTGAGTGCGGAGAACATGGTTTGATTAGGATTCAGAAAACACAGAGTATCCATGCTCGTCAGCTGGGGCTTCCCAGAGGAGGTGGCAGTTTCAGTGGGTCTCCCAGATAGGCCAGGCAGGGGGGCGGGGGAGTCGGGCATTCCTGGGGAGCAAATGTCATGAGCTAAGGCCTGCAGGTGGGAACACGGAGGACCTGCTGGTAGAAAGCACAGGGAGAAGCCCAGCTGGAGCACCATGGGTTCGTGACAGCTTCATGCCCAGAGACAGGAGGGAGCAGAGTCCAAAACAGACATGCCCCTGGCCGCGGCCATGGCCGTCACCCTCTGCTCTGCCCCCTGCCCTCGGGCATGCTCAGGCCCTCTGCTGTGGACTAGTTTAAGTCACCCATGTGGCCTGAGAAAGATGTGCTCCGAGGTTTACACCCCTGCGTCAAACCCAGATGCTCAAAGGAAAAAAAGGATTAGCCCTGTTCTTCCGCTGGCCCATCTGAGGTAGAGGGGGTAAGTGGCTGTCCCCCCTTTGCGGCAGCACAGAGATGTCTGCTAGTCTCATTAAAATTTTCAATCCAGGGCCTCCCCAGTGGCGCAGCAGTTGAGCGCTGGGTTCTGGGGCTGCCCACGGCCTCTGCGGCGCTGGTTCCATCCCCAGCTGCTCCCCGGACACCGGAGGAGGGTCCTGCATGGCGCGCAGACCTCTCCTGCCGCCCACTGCTCCCCTCAGCAGTGTGCTTCGGTCCTTCTGCCTGTTCTGGTCCCCGCTCTGGCTCTGGTGGGTTCTCCCACCCTCCCGCACTTCTGACTGTACCCAGTGCATGTATAAATAAATAAATAAATCTTTAAAAAAAAAAAAAAAGAAAGGTTTTAAAAAAATTTTAAAAAAAATTTTCAATCCACAAATATTCTAGGAGACCCATGTGCAGGGCACGGAGCCACAGGAATGGGCACAGAAAGCTGTGAGACAGAAGTTAAGGGGCGCGTGGAGCCCTGCTCCGCAGGTGGCTGCCACTGTGGCTCTGCCGCTTGTCAGTTTTGGGGGGCTTGGGGAGCTTCTGTACCTTCTCTGAGCCTCAGTTTCCTCATCTGTAAAAGGACGGTGCTCCCACTCATGGCACAGGATCCAGGGAAGGTGGACTTAAAGCGCCCGCGACAGTGCGCGTCCTGTGAATGTCATTTCTTTCTAGGGCCCAAGCCTGCAGGGCCTCGGACCAGAGTTGGAACTCCACAGATACTCGGCTAGGAACAGGAAGAGAGGAAAAAGGGAGTGTGAGGAAGAAGAAAAGGGTGGTGCTCCCTGCAAATCTAGCACTGCACGCTTTGAGTCCACATCATCTAGAATCTTCTATCCCCAAGATGAGGTGCGTGCAGCCTGGGCAGGCCTCCTGGCGACGTGTGATCCCTCCTCCCCCTCCGCTCCTGGCCGTCTCCCAGTGCCCTCCACAGCATCCCCACCATGCAGCCGCCTCTCCTGCCTGAGAACCAACTGCTGTCCTGATGTTCACCCCTCACGTGGCAGTAACAGGAACCAGACTTCTTCAAAATAAATGTGGCCTGAGCCCGGGGCAGGGGGTCTTCAAGGGATTTGATCCATGTCAGCCCCCGTGGAAGGGGTTACCCCCTGGAAGGGTATATTCCATTTCCCTCAGGCTCACTTCCTAAATTCGTTTAGGTATCCCTGACTGATGTTAACAGCTCGTATTTATCAAGCCCTCACTCCACACAGGCGCTGGGCCAAGCTCTGTGCAGAGCGTATCCCCAACTGCTCGCCACGGCCCAGCGAGTCAAGTGCTTCTTTTAGGGAAGGAGACACAGAGGCACAGGGCAGTGAAGCAGTTCGCCCAAGACCACACAACCAGGCTCTATCCGTGTCACACACATGTCCAGACCGGCCCGGCTCGCAGCCCGAGGAACTGGGCCCAGGATTCGAGCCCAAGGCCATCTTCCTGTTACCATTGCCAACGTTTCACATATTTTTTCAATCTCTGTCATTACATTTGGTTCAGTATAGTGTCAACCTGAAATCTGCCATTAAAAAACAATAACAGGCTTGGGAGTTAAAGATATAAGGAAAACATGTCCCAAATGGCCACTGATGAGGCGTTAGTGACCACAGAGGCTAAATAATACAGATCCACTGTACTGGTTTCCTTTCCTGGTGGAATTAAAAAAAAAAAAAAAAGACTCTACTTGGAAGACGAGAGACCAGGAAAGTCTTTGGTTTCAAGACAGTTTTATTTTTCTAGTCAAATATGAAGCCCTCCCAGGAAGATTAATGATAGCTGGTATCTTTTGTGACATTTTCCACGTTGCCACCAACGAATATAGCCTTGGTGGCCCAGTGACTCCTCTGCCCTTCAACCTCTGTTCTGCAAAATGGAAGCAACAACAGAATTCAGCCTGTTCATGCCAGAGGGGGCCACACAGACACTCTCGTAGTGGCAACGTCAACAGGCCTTCCTTGGCTATATCGCTGGGTTTTTCCTAAAGCCCTATCATATTGTTTCTCTTATTTACAGAGGGTTCTCCTCACAAAAACCTGGAGCTGGGGGACGGTGGGCATGGGGGAAGTAGGGCTGTTTTTAATCCCTGTTTGGTGGATAAGAAAATGGGTGGATAAGTAGAAGCTTTTATGGGAGAACTATTTTATAACCTCAAGCATAAGGATGACCTTCTTAATAGCGTCACAAAACTCAAACCATAAAAGCATGACAGGGGCCTCCCTGGTGGCACAAGGGGTTAAGAACCATACTATGAAGCAATTCCCAGTCTCTGCAGCACAAGTTCAATCCCCAGCCGGCCAGGGAGAGACCCACATGGCACAGCAGACCTCTCCTGACTCGCCCTGCTGCTCCCCTCAGCAGTGTACTTCAGTCAATCTGCCTGTTCTGCTCCCCACTCTGTCTCTGCTGAATCTCTCACCCCCGCAACTCTGGCCTGTACCCCAGCTCTTGTATGCATAAACAAATCTTTAAAAAAAAAATGACGGCTTCAATTCTATAACATTTTGTTCAAAATTCTGCCTGGTCACAACCACCATAAGCAAAGACAGGCAGCAAACTAGGAAACATTATTGCAGCACATCTCACAGGCCACAGACTCCCTGAGATCCAATTCTAACAGACCAAGAACACAGACGCTCTCAGCAGCCCTGCTCAGTCAGCAAGTGGAAGCAGCCTGAATGCCCATGACAGATTTGAGTGGGTGAATAAAATATGGTCTGTCCATACCACAGAATATTACTCAGCCATAAAGAAAAATGAAGCATTGATATCACCACATGGATGAACCCTGGAAATGTGAGACTGAGTGAAAGGAGCCAGACACAAGAGGCCATGCTTACGAGTCTATCTGTATGAAATATCCAGAATGGATAAACCAATAGAGACAGACCGTAGGCTAGCAGTTGTCAGGGGCTGGGGGGCAGTGGGGATGAGGGTATCTGGTGATGACAGTATCTGGGAACTAAACAGGGTGGTGGTCGTACAATACTGGGAAGGCACTAAATGCCACAGAATTGTCTCTGAATTGTTAATTGTGACATTAATTTTAAGTTATATAAATTTCACCTTGATTAAAAACCAATAAATAGTAAAAAAAAAAAAAAAGTTTCTTCAAATACATGCGAACAACACCAACAGTCTAATAGCAAAGTCAGTAAAGGAGAGGACTAACTCGCCCAGAAAGGAAATACA